CTATCTAACGCACATATTCTTCTGCAAGTAAATATAATTGCTTGCAATCATGTGTACAGTTTAAGGACTAAAGGACTGAAAAGCCTTGGATGAGAATAATAAAGATTTGAAAGATTCATTATGGACGGTTACAAAGCTAGAGGAAGACCGAAGAAAGTAGGGTAAACTATGGCTTTTGTGAAAAAAGATATGCTTAACATGGGAGTGGATTCAGATATGACTGCTGATAGATATGTATGGAAGAGTAGCACATACTGTGCCGACCCTTCGTAGGAACAAGGGCTAGCGGATTATGTGCAAAGTAAGGAATAGAATCTTAGAACTACTAGTGATTTCAAAAAAAATTAACTACAAGATCCTTATTAACAACATTCCTATTGATTTATGACTTTGCATGTAGAGAAAAGATTGCATCTAAATGATAACTATGTATTTTATGATTACTTATTACAAGTTATTGAAACTTTAAAAATGTATTGCGTAGTTTTGATAGCAAAGTTTAGCCGCAATGGAGCTGTACTCTCAATAAATAACAGGCAAAGGGTTCGCGTCTAATGTCACCGGCTCACGCGACCTCGCACCGCTCTACGCCACTCCTGTTCCGGTGGAGATAAAAAAATAAATATGCAAGACGGAACTTATTTACACGATCCGTGTACGATGATACAAAACTGTATCCTAAACACGATATCTTACACACTAATATTTAAAATGCGTAAGTTTAGAAGGAAGGATAGATGTTGGTTAGAGTTTGTAGCCTAAACTGCAGAACGGACCTCAATGAAATTTGGCATAGATGTAGATAGTCTAGTAGAAGATAGGAAACTTACTTCTTTTTTAATTCCACGTGGACGGAATCACAGGCAAAAGCTAATATCTCAATAATTTAAAGAAAGCATGTGAACCAGAGAACGGATGCGATTAGAGTATGTTGGTATTAAATTGGAAAATAAGTAAAGTCATAAAAAACTAATGAAGCATTGGTGCTTGATTATCACATTAACTGTAAGTGACAAATATAATTATATGTTCATAGTAAATAACACACCAAATGTATTCACTATTTTTGTTACAAGATGAAGTAAATAAGTCGTGTGTTAAGCCAGACGCGCTCTCCACGACCGCAAACATCTGGTGAACTAATCAATACTTAAATATCCCTAGTCCAACCGAATTTCCGCACCATACCCGAACAATCCTTTATTTTATTACTACTATATATTTTATAGCTTGCATGGGTCTATATTTTAAAAACGAAAAATGCTTATCAGCATTTGTTCATGGAAAATAAAAAAATGCGTATCTGCAATTGCGAAAACCACAGAAGCGGAATGGAAAAATTTCCAGTTAATACAAAACCGACCGCTTCAACGTCAGTAACATCTGCTCTGCTAACGATTTCATTCCAATAAACCATAAGCGAAATTAACTTTTATCAGACTCATATTCCAGGAAAATTAACTACCTATACAAATGGTATTTTTCTCTGCCTGATCTCCGTTACCAATGTTTATTATTTTACGTTTAATACTTAAAATGTTTTTAAAAACTATTAAAAACTAACAAAAGACACAATATACTAGAATATTCCGAGGTTTGAAATTTAAAATGGACTATTGCTTCTTACATTTACTAAGAAAGTTAAAACTTATTACATTAAAGTCACATATTGCATAAGAAGAGAAAACTTTTAAGGCTTTGTAGAGCAAAATATTGGAGCTAATACAACTTTACTTGCAATATCACTTTACACGATCTCGGGGCTTTGAGGTCGCTGCATCTTAGCTGGCTAAGTTAATTGAAAACAAAAGATAACCGACAAGGAAGCAGACTAAAAATATTCTACTCCTTGTTGAAATTTAATACGTTGTCTCTAGTGACTTTCCACTGATGTAACACCAATAATGCATTGCAGTTATCTATACAGATATTATAAAATACAGATATTATAAAGCGGAAAGATTTGTATATTTGTATTTTTATATGTATTAAAATAACTCGAAAATTTCTGGGCCGATTTTAGAAATTATTTCACCATTAGAAAGCTACGTTATCAGTCAGTAACATAACGCCAATTTTTTGTTATTAATATCACACGGGCGTAATCGCGAGGCACATCTTTTCATTATATAAAAGAGATACCATATTCTACATTTGTTGTTTACATTACTATTACTACGTGCCTACAGGAAAGCAGATACGTGGGTACTAACTGGTATAACCTTGATTTCTATCCAAAAAATGGGAATTAAACATTTTAGTAGAAACTTCATGAATAACATAACAGTATGCAAGTAATTAAGTTGTAATAATGAGAACCTTAGAGAACATGTTAAATGTATCTCAAAGCGTACGTAGGAAGCAAGTTGCGTATGCTCGTCAGGTGCAACAGTAATTTAAGTCGGGTTCACCCGACGGCCTCCAGACATCCGACCCGTTTCCGACACGCTCGGGCGGACCTTTTCTTATTTTATTGCCCTCAGCCTACGTTACGGACCTCTATAACGTAGAAAACATGCTTAAATACCTCCCAAAACCAGGGTGGTATCGGTGATTTCGTAGCAATTGAAATAAATGTTTCCTCTATATATTTAAATTTATTATCGTAATACGATATTTATATGTCTTTTACGAAATAGGTTAGTAAGATTAAAAACTTTTTATGAAAATAGTCTCTGAAATACTTATAAAGGCTACACTAATTATTCATGGTTGTGATTGAAAATTACGTTATTCTTTTATCTAAAAATTTGCATTCTATTTTATTAAGGTACAGACAAGTCAACAAGTCTTATGTGCAGAAACAACTGATCGATGCAAAGGTAGCAGACGTCGAACTCCAAGTTTACTACGTGCTTCACTGGTATACTAATCTGAATATATGTACATGAAGACATGTGTCATAGAAATCCAACGAACTAAAGAGGCAGAGAAAAGTCTAATCTAAATGAATTAAAAATCAGTATTTAAGTGTTGTTATCTCGATTAATCTAATAACCACCGGGCACAGGAAAAGGATTTTTTAAATGTCGCGAATCACCACCTGATATTACAAAGGGATTATGAAAGTATTGTAATGTAAAGTGCAAAAGAAAAATAAACTTTTCCATTTTTAGACAAACTCAGAACTTGAACAATGTAGGCGGTAGAGTACTAAATATAACATCCTTACATTGTCCTTTCAAACAATGATTGCTACATAGAATTGAATATTTTCATTCGCTTTAACAAACATCATAAAACAATACAAAGCTATGGTTTGACGCACGAAAAACAATTTGTTTCAAGAAAACTATCGTTGTAATAAACGCTATAGAAGTATATTGTCTATTTTAATTTTGTGTACTTGAGCACAATTTACACTTGTCATTGTAATTGTAGTACAACATTTTAGCTCTCGACTGTACTATATTTATTAAAATAGGGTTTAGATATGTATGGAGCAAACAATAAAAGTCACAGCTGAGGAAAGTCATACAGCGTACACTGGAGGGCAATAAAATGCCCGGACAATTTGTTTAATCAAAAACAAATGTAGGCGCCCCCCTCCCCCTCCGCCTCCGGGCGATAACAACTTTTGTTGCATGACACTCTTGTTTTTGTTTCATCAGCCCTAAATGAGATTTTGCTTTGTTTCGTACAAGATTCTCGGATTCGTTTTGATTAGTAACGAGATGGTTACTGTTTGCTTTTGATACTAATTCTAGATAAGTCTAACAATAGAATAATCCTTATTTTAAATCGATTAAGAGTCATCAAGCCTATACATCAATAGCTCCAAATGGATACATTGTCATTAAATATACATTTCCAACATGTAATTACACGAAGAATCGTATCACAAATCGATATCTAATTCATTCGTATAATAGAGAAGACACACAAGTCACGATTGTCAATATACCGATATGTGACAATACAACCTAGTAGGAAATAGTGAGGTAATTTAGAAAGCATTATCGTATACTTCCATTTAACTTGTAATAGCAAATGTCTTTTTGCAACGATCATCTTAAATTATGTAGGAATATCTAAAGCTTAAGAAAATATGTAAAGTACATTAGCGCTCATGAAGATATCTCCATCAATCTGTAACCGAACTTAATCAGTTGGTACTTTTTTGTATTTAAATTCTAACTATTGAACCCCATTTGGGTCGGTACAACTTGTATTCGACCAAATCTATCAAACTTCCATAATTTAGTCGTCCACTCTTCTTTTAATCCCATCGCGCAATCCGTTTATCTTTTCTTACGTTTAAAATAAGAGGTAGAGGTAATCCTCTAAAAAAGTATATCCCTAACTCATCAGTACCGATGTTTATCGGATTTAGAGGAACAACGTTCATATAGAACACGCTTGTTCCCGGTTCGCGCACAAATATTGTCGCCCGCATTGTTATTCGGTCCACGGCGAACGGGTCACGTCTGCGTCCAATAATTCCACAGCGACTCATCTCGTTACGGCTACAATTTTCACTTGAGAATATCAAATAAGCCGCATTACGTTTTCATCATTTTCGTGTATATTATTAGTGCAGGTGTACAAGTGATTAAGTTATACTTTCGGCATAGAGTAATATCAATCTCACCTTTGAGATACGAAATTTACTAATTAGGAACTTAAAATAAGAACACCAGGGCTAACCCTCACAAAAAGTTTTTTAGGCCTGGGAGAAGTGACAAAATTTGTCCATCGGTGGCTTTGCAACTGTTAATATAAACATGAATATACTACTTAACAAAGTATATGTTGGAATTTAAAAAAAATCTTCTGTGAAATGTTTGTGTGAAACCATAAAATATTGACAAAACTATTTCTTGTAATGAATCACTTATAAAAATATATGACTAACTTTTAATTCTGACAATTCGTTATACTGTACGTTTAAATACTGTAACTTAATCTAGATCACGTGTAGACCTTATTAATCAGAGCGTGAGCTAAAATAATGTACGTTTGAATTAAATATGAATATATAGGTATATGTATGTACGTACACTCGAGGTAATATCATAAAACACAACCAACGTATCCCCCAAAACGAGATTTGCCAAGCCATTTAAGTCTTAGAAAAGGAAAATGCGTAGAAACTCCTTTGAGGAATACACATAAATATTCCCGCCTTTTAACGATGTTCCAACAGCATACCAGATAAATCTGATAAATCCTTTAATAACAGGCACTCACAAATTATTTTCAACACTCATCACAATTTTTTACACAAAAAACACACTAATCACCATTACGCAATAAATTTGAAAAAGGAACGGATCGAAATTGGCGGGATTTTTGACATTTGTAGAGCGCGACACAACATAAGTATAGACAACTGTCACGTGTTTTCCATCGGTTTGCGACACGTCAGTTTGCTCGGGGGCTCGCGGCACACTGGCTTGCCGCCCTCGGGAAATGTTTCCATACAGCCTCCACCCGCCCCCGCCCGCCACCGATGCGCACTTGCAGTTCTGCCTTTGCAAGAAACACCGCCATTTTATAAATACTTTTTTCCTTCGTATTCGTAACTTTGAAGTTTTGACACTTTTACTATTGATTGGAAAATTAGTTTAAATTTACAAGAAAAATCTTTTATTGCAACGCAAACGTCCAAAATCTTAAAAATAGCTAACTTATAACTTAAATGGTTAAAAAGTAAAAGTTCAGCGTGTTCAGTTTGATCTGTACAGTTGTAACTGCAAAGTCGCTTTGTACAGTTTAACTGACGTTAAAATTTAATTAAAGCTGAAAGTGTGTTTAGGGCCTTATAATAGCGCCTTTTCAAATGGTATAAATGTAAAAAGAACCTAATACAAACTATTATTAATTTAGTTAAATATCTTATGTTACTTTGCTACTTTGGCAGAGTGCCGTTAACGCACAGTTGGAAACGTATCGTACGCTAAGATTACTGTATTGTGTATTGTACACTCCTTTGTATAGTAAAGTGTAATTAGAGCAACCATTGTCTCAACCTAGCGTAAATAAACCTTGGTTTCCTACATTACTAAACTACTACTAGTATGAATGGCTAGACAATATTGTGGTTAAGAAAAACTCGTTTGAATTTAGAACACAGTTAACACATTTTTTAATAATCTCAAATAAAACTACAAAGGGCCTTAGGGTCCGTTCACAAACACCGCAGCGTAGAGCAGAATTTAATTTTAATTGATAACACTTAGGTTGACTAAAGAAGGTCCTCCAGTGTGGGATAAAAATTACTTAATTTTACAATCGAATTCTATTTTTTAAAATTAAAATTGACATAAATAAAGATGAAATGTTAAAATTAATTGAAAAATCAGCCACATACAATACAATACTTGAAACAAAACTACCATCAATGATAAGGCTTCCCTTTCGTATGAAGGTTTTACATATTTTACTATAGAGTAAGGATTAAACAAGACTTTTCCGAATGAACTTTGAACATTATCTTTAAAGTTGCGGGAGCGCAAGAGGTTTCCATACATCTATCTAACAATAAATTCAGTTTGATCACGTAACCCTCGAGTAAGTTGAGCTGACAGCTAGAAGTTGAGAGAAAATCGCTATTTGATCTCCCAATATAACTTGTGAAAGGAAGCAAGAATGTTTTTCGATATACATACATACATATTGCTAATATTATAAATGCGAAAGTAGATACATTTTGTAAATTAAGAACCCAAGGCAACACTGATTCTTATTACTCTTATACAGGAGTGAGATGTCGATGAAATTTGGCATAAATATAGGATAGTCTAGAAGAATGCCTAGGCTAACCACTTTTTTATTCTTTAAATATCACTCGGACGGCGTCGCGGGCGAAAGCTGGTAATACATTTTATTGTCAATACTGCGGAATATTGTAAATAGTTGCTGTATTTTGGATTGGGTTTTTAATTTTACTACATCTTTTTGTATTTAAAAATTGTTGGAATAATAATAGTTTTCTGTAATAATAATTTAGTCGAATATTTTAAAAACAAATAGTGAATTTGAATAGTCAGTACCAAAACAAATGAATGTTTATACTGGCCACAAAACCGTCCGCTAATTTACGATACATTTGGGAGTGCTCAATGTTTCAACGCAAAACAAATGAAGTGTAGAGAATAGAGAAGTTAGGAAAATGTAACTGTGTTACAATTACTTTATAACTAGTTTACAAATTAAAATAATAAAAATTAGAAATAAAATCCAAATAGATAAATGAAATAAATATACCTGCTTAGTTATAAGATGTTACTTAATTTAGACGACGGAACTGTGGTACTTACGCAACATAGCGTGAGGTAAAGAAAAAAGAAAAAACCTTCTGTTAGTTAAGGAACATTTTAGTAGAAAAGTAAGGTTTAGTAAATGCCGAGATTAAATTACAAAAATTGTATCAAAATTATAAAACGCAACTTTTTTTTTAATCAAAATTTTTCCTTTTTTTCTCGGAAGTTAAGAATTTTGAATATAAAGTAGTTAGGTAAGGCTAATCCATTTTCACGCATCAGTGCATCTCTAAATTACAAAGTGCAGGCAGTCAGCCGCGCAAACAAACCACTCACCCCGCATCACTTGCATTTTGAATGCACACTTTACAATCGTCTACTCTTTGAAAGGCAGCACACTAAATGTGCCGAATTTGAAAAAAAAAAATTGGTTAACAAAGTTCCTCGAGTATACCATTTTTTTATTTCGAAGTAATGAAAATTAGGTGCCTTACATTATAAGGACTTCAGTAAGTAAAGGTTTTGTCGTATTTTAAAGCTCACCAACATGACACTAAGCAACAGATCGCCTGCCGGAATTACGGCTCTCAACAACTGCTATAAGACGTGCTTGAGATAAACAAGACCATAACCAATACACTACAAGTAACATTCTATTACAGAAACTACAAAATCATTTGTCATCTTCGTCAATTATTGTGTACAAAACAGTGATAATACTATTATGTTAATTCGGTCTTAACACGTTCCATGCCACTTCCCTTTGTATGCAAGAGAACTCGCCAGGCGCAGGCAAGTCGTCGGCATTGAACGTGTTAAGAAAAAAATCATGCGTTACTACATTTTGTAAGGAAAATTATTGGCCATTTCAAAATGGCGACTATTACATCAATAAACGGATCAGAAAACTTATCGGAAAGTGTAAGTTGTAATGCAAGCATTCGATAGGGGCGCGCCTCGCCGCCCTTAGAGTTAAGATACAATACGCTCATATTGATGGGTCATTCTGTAATGATAATAAAAGTTTATAACCAAAATTATGTATGATAACGAAACAAAAAAAATCGTTTGTATGTAGTTAAAATTATGTAATCAATAAAAACGTTTTTATTGGATTTTATAATGTTTTTTAATAAAATGATATTGACACATTTTGGCAAACTTACTTTATTTTCACGTAATAAACAAGAACTGTAATGGTAACTAATCCAATACGTTTCTAATATATATTTCAATTTGTTGAATTCAAAGATTTTTTTCTGTTCAGCATTAAGAAAACTTACATGTCGATTTGAATGCGAATTTCGAAGACTTGGTTTTGATGAAATCATAAAGCAAATAATTATACCTTGAATAACTGCCAGAATAATTTTGTAAGTAATTTTAGGCAGTGGAACTTTATCAGTGTTTTGTTTTACTGAATCAGCATGGATTGAAAATGCCCGGTAGCAGAATGTCCCCATATTGGTGCAGGCGTGGTGCGATCATAAATTGCTTGGGTTTGATTAAGGCGGCGCGGGCTGCAGTGGGCTACACGGGACATTCGCCCTCCGACCAATGCACCGGTGCATTCTGATATACAGGGTGTACCGCATCCTTTGTAAAAAAATGGTACAAAAATACCATTAGTAAAATATATTTGTTCACTTACTCTAGCCTATTTTAAAAGAAAATAAATAAAGTCTTACGCTAATTAATACGATTATATTGATCTGATCGATGTTTATTAGATCTCATTGAAAATAATAAAGAAATAAGACATATTTCATTGTTGTTATATTTTGTTACGATATTTTTTTATGTTAATGAACAAAGTCTGTTACAATTATTATTAATTTGTAACATTTCGTTTAATAAAACATCCTGTGTCCGAATGATACCGCATTGCCATCTACTTTCCGGATTACTTTTGTAAAGAGGGGATCATTTATTTCTTTTCTTATACATGGTTCCCAATCTTTTATTATTATATCAGTTATAACCTTCCTAAAATGGACAAATAAATTATATATTACAATAGCAAAAATTGTCAAGTTAGAGTAATGCTTTAAATTTTTGTTATCTTTTATTAAATAGCAAAAAATTTAAAAAAAAAGGAAATCAACTGTCTATTTGTATAGTCCACCCACAAAATCTTGTAAGTTTAAAAAAGTAATACTGATTCAACATTATTACAAGTTAAAAATAAAAGATCATTAAAGTTTGAGAGAAACTGAATATATCGTGTGAGCAACGTAAGGATTTGATGAAAGAAGCCGACAATTCCTAAGGGCGTTGGTGACGTCACCTTTATTTCACACCTACATCCTTAATATATCGCCTCAATGCTTATCTGTTGCTTATCACGATGACTAGTAGCATTTGTAAATGTACTCCTAAATAAAATTCCTCGCCGTTTTTTTCGTGAAGCTTTAATAGGTGGTTTACTTTGAATAAATTTATGTAATGGAATGTTATGCAATGTATATCTTTAAACAAGAACAAGCATCTCCGGACCTAAAACCCCTCATAAGTCAATAATACCTAAAATTTTAATAATTTATTTATTGTTAAGTGTGATATTGTAATTCGTTTCTTGTATCAATCAAATCGGACAAGCATTAGGGAATAAGAAGTGATATTGTAGTGTACATTTGTATACAGGATACAATTTAAAGTATACGTCTACACATACTACATCCTAAGTATACATATACGGTGTATAATGTATATTGTATACATTCGAGTATTCGATAGGGTTGTAATTAATGGAATTGCGAATGTCGCCGATTTCACCAGGGAATAGCGCCCTTGTACACAATGTTTTCGTCCACACGACCTAAATACTTTTAATACTTTGTTATTTAAACT